ATTGAAAAATCTAATCGAAAAACTACGAATTGTTTTGGATTCTACGCACCAAAATTAATAAGAAAAAGTGTTTTCCCGAGAAATTTTGGTGTAGTCGATTTTTGGTAAAAAAGGAAGGTTATACACTGCCTTTTTTTTGCGCCCGAAAAAAAAATTGTCTCAGATCGACCAGGAAAAAACATTTTCTTATAGAATGTGGCCTATAGAATCCATAATTTCAAACAGTTCCAAGATTGGGCTAGTAGATCATAAGTTACAGCCTTTTGAATTTTCTTTCGAAATTGGTTTCTAGTCCATAACTTTTGATTGAGAAGTCTAATCGAAAAAGTACGAATCGTTTTGGATTCTACGCACCAAAATTAATAAGAACAAGTGTTTTCCCGAGAAATTTTGGTGTAGTCGATTTTTGGTAAAAAAGGAAGGTTATACACTGCTTTTTTTTTGAGGCCCGAAAAAAAAAATTGTCTCAGATCGACCGAGAAAAATCATTTTCTTATAGAATGTGGCCTATAGAATCCATAATTTCAAACAGTTCCAAGATTGGGCTAGTAGATCAAAAGTTACGGCCTTTTGAATTTTCTTTCGAAATTGGTTTCTAGATAGATTCTAGATTGAGAAGTCTAATCGAAAAAGTACGAATCGTTTTGGATTCTACGCACCAGAATTAATAAGAAAAAGTGTTTTCCCGAGAAATTTTGGTGTAGTCGATTTTTGGTAAAAAAGGAAGGTTATACACTGCCTTTACATTACTATTACATCGTTACTAATTGGGTTTGTAATGTGAGGAGAATAATAATTTTTTGTACCGGTTGCCAAACGGGTCGTTGAGTGGAAGCATTTTAAAGTATTTGTCCAGTTTTTGGTATACCTCATTCAAATCAGATCAAATTAATTGAATAAGTGTCTTTCTTGTAAAGGGACAACTAGCCTGATACGGCAAATTTGAAAAGAATACTTATAAAAGTTACACAAAAATGCTCTAGAGTATAGCCCATGAACTTTTTTTTTAAATAATGGCAATTTTCTAACACTTCCGGTTATACCAATTTACCTATTTTAAAGGGAAATGCCCGTTTTTTATTCCACATTCAGATTCCTTCTTGAAAATAAAGGTCAGTTTACCAGATAATATCTATGGCCATCTTTGACCGTTTTGGAGATATTTGCATACTAAGAAAAAAAATTGACAGTTAAGGCTCAATGACTATTAGACGTAAAACAATAAAATTTTAGGGGTACGTATCAAAAATACTGATTATTCGAATAATCATAATCTTAATTTTTTTTCAGTTTTTTAAGAAAAACTCGTTTTTTAAATGAAATCTCCATTTTTTATTTCAGATATTAATTCTAGATAACATTTTCATTCTATTGGTTTGGAGTCGTTTTCAAGTTATTGCATTTTTCTTAGTAAAGCATTTTT